TGAAGATGACCGTCTTGAGGGTTGCGTCCCGGCGCTGCTCTGTGCCGATGTTGTGCAAATCGGATATGGCGAGCACACAAGAATCACTCTCATGGACAACGAGGCTAGCAGGGTCCACTGCATAACGCGAGAGACAATCGGCATCTTGGTGTAACCTGCCAGACTTATAAATTTAGTCCAAGTTATACTCCTGGAGACATAGAGCCCAGCGACCTAAGCGACAAGTTGGGTCCTTGAGCGACGACAACCAACACAGAGTGTGGTGGTCCGTAATAACTGAAAACTCCCGGCCAAACAAGTAGGGGCGAAATTTCCCTACAGCCCAGACCAATGCAAGCCACTCGCGCTTTGTTATCGAATAGTTTCGCTCAGATGTGGAGAGAAGGCGGCTGGCACACGCAATAACACGCGTTTGGCCCCCCTGGTGTTGAGCGAGAATCACATCATCGAGGTAGCAAAGGCAGATAGACCATTTATAACCATGGAGGAGAGAGTCCATCATGCGTTCGAACGTTGCAAGGGCGTTGCACAAACCAAAAGGCATAACCTTGAACTTATAAAGGCCATCTGGTGTGATAAAGGCAGTTTTTTCGCGGTTTAAGTCGTTAAAAGAAATTTGCCAATAGCCCGAACGCAGATCTATAGATGAGAAGTATCGCGCGCCATGAAGGCAGTCAAGGGCGTCGTAAATTCGTGGCAGCGGATATATGTCTTTGCGGGCTATCTTGTTCGAGGCACGGTAGTCAACCCCAAATCTCTAACTGCCATCCTTCTTTTTGACTAAAACAACAACTGACGCCCATGAACTTGAAGAGGCCTATATGACTATTTTGGAGAGCATCTTCTCGGCTTCTCATTGTATGACCTGGCGTTCAGACTGGGAAACACGATATGGTCGCTGTCTAACAGGACTAGCATCGCTGGTATGTATTTGATGATGCACAACAGACGTTTGATCTAAAGGGCGGTCATCGATGTCGAAAATATCTCGGTAGGTGGTCAGAACGTGGTGGAGTTGCGCAGCCTGACAGGGCAGAAGTTCAGGGGGCAATCATCATTGTGATTTCATCGGTAGGCGCATTTGCTCGGCTGGCTGCAATAGGAGACGAGCAGTCTTCAGAGTCTAATGCCACGATGTTACATGCATCAAGTGGGGAAACATGACCTAACGAAATGCCATGCGGGTTTGGGTCGAACTACTAAAGTTGAGAAGCAGAAGCTGAACGTAGTTGTCCACGATAGTCACGATGGTATGCGGCACAGCAACACTTCGATCCATGAGCACATCCACTAATGGAGGCACTATGTAGTCACCGCCAGAAAGAGCTGGTAATATCGTTAAGGCCACAAACGTGGTGGCTTGCGGTGACAGCCGAATATAATCAACAGCGCACAAGCGGTGTGTCGGTGAGAACAGCGCAGCTCCTAGTCGAGGCAGTTCAAGTTTGAGAACGACGGTTACACAGTTGATGAGAGTGGCATGAGTGGACAAGAAATCCAATCCAAGAATCAGGTCATTGGGGCACTGCTCAATAACTGCAAAAAGAACAGATGTGGGGTGATCGGTGATTGTGATGCGCGCTGTGCACATTCCCGTGATGGCAAGACTTCTTCCGTCGGCGACACAAATAATGCCAGAAGCAGCCGGTGTGAGAACTTTTTTCAAGCGGCGACGAAGTCGGGCACTCATCACAGAAATATGCGACCCCGGTGTCAATAAGTGCAGAAACAGTCAGGCCGTCAACGCCTACGTCGATCAAATTTCGTCGTGTCGGCAGTACAAGGAGAGGATTTGAGGTCGGTATCGAGGATGCAGCTTCACCTTTAAGAGCTGCACTGCTTAGTTTCCCCGATGAAAATTGAGCAGAGAGGTCGGGCATTGTCCTAGAGGAGAAGAGGACGACGGGTGACGTCCAGGCGGCGAACGAGACTGATGACGTCGAGACGACGGTGAGCGGCTGTGCTGCGTACCAGGGGTATCCAAGGGTGGAAGGCGGCAGTAGCTGTCAAGGATCGGTGCAGGAGGCTGGAAAAGGCGGTAGCTGCCGGCGCAGTGAGCACTGTTATACTGTGTTCGGGATGAAGCCCAATAGTTGCAGCAATACCGTGCGACGTTCCCTATGCGGTGGCAGTTAAAGCAGATCGGCCGATCATCCGCCATTCGCCATTCAGCCGGATTGCGAGAGCGTGGAAAAGACTGTTCCTGGGGCGGTGACGTGGGGCGAGGCGGTGACCTTGAACAGAACTCAATTGGTCGAGACTGAGCAACGGCGCAGACATCGAAGCCCAAATTGCTGAGTTCTTCCCGCACAATCGACGTGGCCATTGGTGGAAAGAGCAGGTGTAATTGCTTCGATTTCCCGCAGGACGATTCTCGTAATTTCAGACGCCGGTGAAGACTGCGGATGAGACGTCAGTCCATCTTCGCAGAAGAACGTTGCAGCGGTGTTCGGCAGTCAAGTGAATGATCTTGAAATACGCCTGCTTTTGGTCTGTTCAAAACGCCGGCATTCCTGAATTATTGCCGCGACGGTCGTGCAGTTCCGGCACATTAGCAGGTTGAACGGATCATCCGCTATCCCCTTGAGGACATGGCCAACCTTACCAGACTCCGACATGTCGTTGTCAACTTTACGCATTAGAGCCAGCACGTCCTGTATATACAAAATATACGGCTCTGTTGACGTCTGAGCACGTATAGACAACTCCTTCTTTGCAGCCGCCTTTCGACCGATGGGCTTCCCAAATAAGTCGCGAAGCTTCGCCTCGAACGTGTCCCAACTACCGATCTCCTCGTCATGGTTCTTGTACCAGACTTTGGCCTTGCCTTTCAGGTAAAACAGCTTGTTGGCCAGCATGACAGTCGGGTCATACCGGTTGAGCGCACTGGTATGTTCGTAGTCAGCTATCCAGTGATCAACATCAACTTCGTCCATACCGTAGAACATTCCTGGATGTTTCGAATGCGTCAGCACGTACGTGGGTGGGGGTAGGGCCGGTGGAGGCGATGTCCTAAATGGTGCAGGCGTCGCCGAGGCAGATAGAGAGGTGGCCATGGGATCAGTCCCGTGTTCCATCACGGAAACTTCGATTTGATGACCAGTGCAGAGCTTCGTTGTATGGCGCTTCGTTACCCAGCACGTCCACCAATTTGTTACGGGGATTACAAATACACGGAAGATAGAAACGAGTGTATTTGCAATATTGACAGGTAGGTGTAACAACCCAGGGCTGCTAGGATCTCGCGCGCCGAATCCGCTTCTTCTTCATCGATGCGTCTACGACGGCGGAGCCATGCCCACTGCCTCGTAACAATATCAAGTTCTTGCGGCACATCCTATTATTCATGTCGTCGACAAGCCGAACCGAATTTGCTTGAGTACCACTGTTATTTGAAAAAGTCAAAAGGTCGTTCTTTACAGAAACGATGGATTCTGTGACATCAAGTATGGAGGTCGTGTTGCTATTCAACTCACCAAGCACAGTTTCCATTTTCGTAAGCCTTTTCTTGACGTCAATGATACCCGCATGAATGTCTTTAACCCTCCCAAAATTTCCTTCTAAAACTTTTCCCGTGCTAAGTTAGCCTCCTTTACAGCATCGAGAATCTGGTCCATCTCATCAGGCCCAGAATCGTTTCAATGTCACCAGCACATACAAGAAGCTGAGCAAGACAAAACAGTGCAACAATAATTCGCCCGTGAGGGCAGCACTTCAAGAGCAAGGCAGCAGATCAATGAGATTTGCGGCAAGAAATACCATCCAATGCTAAAATGCGGCAAGAAATACCATCCAATGCTAAAATGTGAAGAGCTACTGCCTTTCCACTCATCTACGAAGAACGCAGATTTTGTTTGATAGCATGCACAGGCCACAAAATCCCGTCTTGTGCAATCAGCAGGTCCATTTTGTAGCTGTAGTGACGTTAGAGGCTGGTACTCCCTCTTGGGGCCAATGCCGGACGTGATGAGGCACACTGACGCTGCCAGGTCATGCCATCTACGTTGAGTGAACTGCCTTGCGACAGATCAACGAAGAATCACAGATATCGCAATCCACAACGGCTGTGAACAAACTGTCTTGTGAAGGCCGAAACACGGAGTGCGCCGGTGCGTCAGGCAGATCACAGCCACCTACGAAGAATGCTGGTTTTGTTTCAGAGCATGCACAGGCTGCAAAATCTCGTTGTGTGCAATCAACAGGTCCTTTTTGTAGCTGGACAGACGTTGGAAGCTGGTGCTCCCTCTTGTGGCCGATGCCGGACGTGATGAGGCACTCGGACGCTGCCAGGTGACCCATTCCACGTCGAGTGAGCCGCCTTGCGACAGATGAGCTAAGAATCACAGATATCCCAATTCGTGACAGCTGTAATTGAACAGTCTTGGGAAGGCCCAAACACGGAGTGCGCTGGTGCATCAGGCAGATTACAGCCACATACGAAGAACGCAGATTTTGTTTGAGAGCATGCACAGGCCGCAAAGTGTGCGAGTACAGTCGAACATTGTAAGCTCACGTATGTTTTCCGTCCTGTCCGGCTGTGTTCTGCGGCAGCGCCAGCTGTGGATTGCACCTGAAATGATGGAACGTCATCGTGTGGTCTGCCAGCGCACATGGGCTGATGGGATTTCACCACTCTCAACTGTCGAACTCTGCGGTGCCGCGGTGACGTGCACTCGTGTCGTGGCCGGCCCAGCCGACCGTATGGCATTGCACGTGTGCACATCAAACCCCACTAGTGCCACTAGCCGATGATGCCAATACACAGTGGGTCGGTCTGTGGCCGCAAACGTCATGCAATATAGCACTGAATCATCAAAATACTTCTCCCACTTTTGTGTAGAGAGTTTTTTAACTGCATTGAAGTTGCGAGCAAGCAAACCCAAAATCAACTTCCATACTACTTGCACAAATGTGGGAAAGCCTTTGCTTTGCTGTTAAGATAAGTTGTTGCAGAGTATAGACGAGTAGGAAGAGACCGGAGAGGCAGCAGAGAAACGTGCCTCGTCAAGCGGCAGGCAAGTCTGGGTGGCTATCTCCTGGAAGGAGAGGCGGCTGCCCGGTCGCTGAAAGGCCATCTCCATCAGGCACAGCAGGCACATCTTCTGGCGCAGGGACAGCTCACAAGTTGCCAGGTCTGGCTGCACAGGCAACAACACAGCTCACACACTTGAAACGAATGAAGGTTACAAAAGAACAACTCGGCGATTGAAATCTCGAAGCAGTCAAACCAGACTCCAGTGAATCCAGGTAGATCGAATTATACCTTATATTGAACTATTTTAAAACATAGCAATGCTTCAACATTAACTCTTTCCTTACCATAGAAAACTGGCCTTTTCAATGTGTGACTACATGATATTTTTTTATCAGAAACTGTTGTGTGACAATGGGTTATTTTATATGAAAATGCAGCCCATTCACGTGTTTTTCTAATGCAATAAAATTCAAAGTAAACAACCTCATATTGTTTCATAATTTATTTCTGAAATTCAAGGAAAACTGAAGAAAGTGTACAAGACAAGATATAAAATTGCTGTTATACATTACAGCATTTCGATTAAAAGAAAACTGAAATATACAAATCGTAGCTTATAATATTAGGAGTAATATTTCCAAATTTGAACATTCTCGGATAAAAAGTATATTTTTAGCGGGCTCTCATTTTAGTGCCCATGATGCATGTGCCACTTGGAGAAGCAGTTGCGCGTGGTGTTAAAGCAGAGATGTGCTTCACAGGTGTTGCAAAGAACATTTGTTTTCACTTCTTTCTTCTTAGTGTTCTCGTTGCACAAATTGCAGTTTCTTCGGCTGTCAACCTTTTCCAGCTTGTGCCCAATCCAGTCGGTTGGCAGATAAGAAACTCTGACAGGTTGATCATATAGGTTCAAAATTTCCTGGATGAGCATCTCTCGGGAAAAAAAGCTGATCAAATCGGGAACTCATATTTAGCTCAGGAATGTCGGGATGCTGTTTGCGATGCTCTTGAATAAGAATAAAGGTATTTACGCAGGCTATGTTGATACAATGAAAGAACAGTGTTTTCCACCAAAGTATGCATTTCCGAAGGACATTGTATGTGCCAATTGTCTGGTCAAATTTGTCTACCCAAACATGCCTGAATTGTAGTCATGCACTAACAAGGGCTTCCTTATTGTTCTCTCACTCCATCGGTTCCCCACTTTTTGAAGTCTTTTTTGCCGAAATGTGTTCATTCGCTGTGTGAATTATACTCATTTGATTTACTGCCTTACAGTCTTTCCAATGAAGAAACAAGATGCTTCCATCCCTGACCCACCGAATGTCCCCCCGCTCAGTCTTCCTTTCCCATTTTGTATCTTTCAGATCGCCAGGGAAGCCTCAGCGATCTTTTCTTGTCGTTCCACATGCCAGCGTTTTGCATTGCAGGAGATGCTCGAATAGGTGCTTTGAGGTATAAAAATTGTCCATGTAAATTTTGTACCCTTGTTCCAAGTATTTTTCACAAAGTTTACTGACAACATCAAAAGTCAACCCATGTGGTTCTGGTGTCTCCCTCTTACCTGTGAAGACAAATAATTGTAAAGTGTACCTTGTTTCAGATTCAGCTAATACCCACAATTTGATTGATTTGTGGGGTTTAACATCCCAAAACCAGCATATGATTATGAGAGACGCCGTAGTGGAGGGCTCCGGAAATTTTGACCACCTGGGGTTCTTTAACGTGCACCCAAATCTGAGTACACGGGTCTACAACATTTCCGCCTACATCGGAAATACAGCCGCCACAGCCGGGATTTGATCCCGCGACCTGCGGGTCAGCAGCCGAGTACCTTAGCCACTAGACCACCGTGGCGGGGCTAATACCCACAATTTGTAACCCCACTTCGTCACCTTATTACGAATATATTGCCTAATTCCCGATCTTGATTTCGATTTCACCATCCTTTTATCTACTGCAATGGCTTCCCGTGGCTGGAAAAATCGTGCTGACACCTCATTGATATTTTGAAGCAGTGGCCACACCTTCCGCAGTTTTCTGGCTGATGCAGTACTCTGATCCTCAGGATCGGAAATGTGCAAGAAAGTGAGGAGAGAAAAGAAACGCTTCCTACTCATGATTTGCGCTGGAAGGAGACCGCCGTATATTAACCCAGTGTTCCAGTACATATGAAAGCGTGGCACTTGCACGATAATCATGTACCGTAATTACTCGAATCTAACGTGCATCTTTTTTCCGGTTAAGCGAGTTTATAAATCACATCACTACGCAGACGAAGATAAATGCCATCACGCTCCCGTATCAGCAGCTTACCCATGACCAAGAACCGCACGTGCTGAATCTTTCTACACCGCATGATGGCGCCTCGACTGCATCGACTATGGCTATAAAAGGACGGCTGCAGCAACACCCGCGCAGTGGGCACGTCGGCTGGCATCGGAACGGCGTCATGTCAAACCCATTCCTGTTCTTTGTACAGGTTGGTGTCGATTACTCCTCAGTTAAAACAAGCAATCGTTGTTTTATACAGCTGACGTGCCCAAGCTGTCTACATGCTTTTTTTGTGAATACATGGGATCTTGTACGGTCTTTGCTAATGTTGTGCGGAGACGTAGAGCTCAATCCCGGACCTAGTACCGCGGAACTTCTCAAACAATTACTTGATGGTCAGAAACTTATACAAGAAAGGCTAAACGCCATTGAATCCAAGCTGCAAAAAGTTGACAAAATCGAAAAAACTGTGCAGTGCCTTGAAAAAAGGCTTGTGGATTTAGAAGACCGAAGCAGACGCAACAACCTTGTGGTATTTGGTATTCCGGAAAGCGAGAATGAATCAACCGTTGTCCTAAGCGAGAAGGTCGTTACTGAGCTTTTTAAAGATACTTTGGGAGTAGAAGTACACTCAGTAGAAAGATTACACAGAATGGGGCGTCGCCAACCAAATAAACCTCGCCCTGTGATACTGAAATTGTTCGACCATCGTGAAAAAATAACCGTTCTACAAAACTGTTTTAAGCTAAAAGGAAAGCGCATGTCAGTGTCTGAAGACTTCTCCGCTGCCACTAGGCAAATAAGAAAACAGCTCTGGGATAGCACGGCTGACCTACGCAAATCGGGAAGGAAAGTCAGACTCGTGCACGATAAAATTAGAATTGATGATGAGCTATTTGAATGGGACGACGAACAAATGACTAGAGTATCAGTTTCAAAACGCCGATCTAGGGCAAGGCAAAAAGATGCGTGACCACACAGTCACACAGAAAGTTTTACTTGCCTAAACATTAATGCTCGCAGCATCGTAAATAAAACAACCGATTTGGAAAGCATAGTCATCGCGCACAATCCAGAAATTATAGTAATCACAGAAACATGGCTTAACAGCGACATTGGTGATTACGAAATTACACCCTCGGGTTACTGCATCCTTCGAAACGATAGAGATACGCGTGGTGGCGGAGTTGCGATTATATTCAAGGACTCGCTGGAGTTGTTGAGACTGCCCGACATCATAGGAATCGAATGTGTTGTCGTGAAGGTTATCTTGAAAGAATGTGCATTGATAATTGGCGGTTTCTATAGGCCCCCTAGTTCAGACATATCTTTCTACGAAAGGCTTAATAACTTTTTATTGCCTTATAGAAATCACTCCAGTAATCTAATGCTTGTTGGAGACTTTAACGTTCCCCACGTTGCCTGGGACAATGACTTTCCCTATGCGCTTTCAAATGAGGCTGAACATATTCTTGATCTTGTGTTGTTTCATGATTTAACACAACTTGTTCATGCACCTACTCGAGTCCAAGGTACCAAACAATCAGTCTTGGATCTATTCTTGGTCAACCACAGGGTATTACAGCGAAATCCAACTATCCGAATCTTAGAGGGTATATCGGACCACAAAATTGTATGCCTGGATATGCAATTAAGCTGTATCCACAAGGTGACAAAGCGAGAAACTTTTGTTCCTGTGTTTGCACGTGCAAGTGATGTTGACGTACTTGACGTACTAGACAGCTCTTTCGCACACTTTGTATCCCTCTACGAGTCGGATAAGCACTCGGTTAATCACCTGTGGAACTTTTTCAAAAACCTTGTGACAAAGTGCATTGACGAATTTGTACCACGTAAGCGTAAAATAATACGGAACACTAACCCCTGGATAACCAAAGAGATAGTACGCTTGGGACGAAGACTTAAAAAAGTAAAACAAAAACTGAAACGGCGCAACGAAGCGTCCACAAGCAACTTGGTTTGCGCACTGAGATTGCAGCTTAAAAACTGTATTGCTGACGCTAAAACTCATTATCAAAACGTGCAACTAAAAAAGTTTATTTCTTCGTCCCCGGCGAAATTTTGGAGGTATCTGTCACCAAATAAAAAATCGGCACCTACTCTTGTCTTAGACGGCAATGCGGTGACCAACAGCTCAGAAACAGCGCGCATACTCAATGAATACTTCTGTTCAGTTTTCACTGATGATAATGGCACGGAACCTGAATTTCTTTTGTTTGGTGATTTGCCACCGATTGACAATATAGAAATAGATGAAGAGGGCGTATTTTCCCTTCTGCTCAAGTTAGATGATAAGAAATCTAGTGGGATCGACAACATACCTAATGCTTTTCTGGTGCGCTACGCAGAATGGTGTTCTAAGTACCTAAACCTAATCTTTCGGAAATCTCTTTCTCGAGCAGAACTTCCTCATGACTGGCGTTACGCCAAAATAACTCCCATACCAAAAAAGGCAAACCAGTACATACCTTCCGCGTACAGACCGATATCGTTGTTATGCGCATGTGTTAAAGTTCTGGAACACATAATATTCAAGCACCTTTCCGCGTTTATCGAAAGCAACAACATAATAGACAGTCGCCAGCATGGCTTCCGACGCGGCTTATCGACGGTTACGCAGCTACTCGAAATGGTACATGACCTTGCCTCTGGTCTGGACAAACAAAGCCAAATTGATATATTATTTCTAGACTTTGAGAAAGCGTTTGACCGCGTGTCACACCGTAAGCTTCTAATCAAATTCAAGGCGATTCTGAAAAATGACTCTTTATTAGCCTGGATCGAAGCATACTTGAGCTGCAGGTACCAGTGCGTCACAGTTGGTGGAACCAACTCGCCATCCGCGCCAGTTCAATCCGGCATACCTCA